TAATGGGCGGCTAGAACTTGAGAAGGGAGAGTATGATGAACGAGGTTGTCCCTTACCTGATGGGAAGTTCGCGAAATTCAATTCACGTTCCACTTGACGAGCCAATCGAATTGCAGCATACATATTCATGGAAGGGTCGTCACGTATACGGATTCGGATATCTTCGCGTAAACCACCCAAAAACTGACCCAAATAATGAGGGTCAGATAAATCAGTTACCTGAGCAACACAAGCTTCAAATTCAGCAATATACTCATCGACAGAGTCGGTTTGCCGCGTGACCTTCAAAGCCTCATATGCATTCACAGTCGTCAGAGTGCTGAAGCGAAACAATAGTTCTTCAATGAACTGGGGCCAAGCGATAGTAGGAAAACGGCGCATTAAACCTTGAACCCAATACAATGCATCCCCAGACATGGCGACGAGCGCAATTGGAACTTTTTCCGCTACTCGAGTGTGGTGAACCAAAAAAAATTGCTCAGCCCTGGCTATCCAAGCAATTGGGTCAGATCCATCAAATGAGGGGAGGTCAATTTTTGGTGTCCCAGACAACGTAGTGGTATGGTTCATGGTCTGGGATGTGTCCGTCTCGTGGGAGGTCTGGGAGGTCCTAGAATCGGATGATTTCTCCTTCTCCTTCTCCTTCATGATGGCAGCGAACATAGTCTCGATAGTAGAAAATTTTGTACATACCTCATCAAGGCCCTTCTCCATCATCTCCAAACGGTGTTCCATCCTCTCGAAATGGGTGTCCATCCTTGTCTGCATACAAGGCTTGGCAGGTCGGACCAATTTGATAGAGTGAAGGGCAATATTAACAATAGATAATGAACATACTACCCCGAAGGGTCCTCAGGCAAGATAGCCTGCCACAAACGTCAATATTCCAGAATACTCATCTAACTCTTACCCACCAATATATATACTAAACCCTAATATTTAATAATTAAACCCCAAAGCCCATTTAAGAGCCCGCTAACTTAACTAATTACATTAACTAAATAATAAGGATAATTGGGCCTACGCCCTAGGGTCCAGTAGGAGCAGCCGCAGTCCGTTTCAGCCTTCTATAATAAACTTTCATAAATTGGTCTTTATCAACTCCTGCCCGGACGGAAACAGCCTTGTCCTCAAGGCTAAAATTAGGGAATTGGCCACGTACTTCCTCAGTGTCCAGCCAAACTACCTCATCATCCCCGTGATCCACCCATTTTATTAGAACCTGTGGAACCATTTTCCCATTGCGCTCAATCTCTCGTCGCGCCAGCACTTTCTCCGGAATAAATAATGGGTCATCTCCCAATAATTCATCAGGTAATGTAGGCTCAACGGAATTCACTCCCATTGAAGATTTTAACAGCGAAACATGAAAGACTGGATGCACCCTTGCGGTACCAGACAATTTCAATCGATAAGCAACTGCTCCAATACGAGCCTCTACCTCAAATGGCCCAAAAAATCGAGGTGCTAACTTAGTGTTCATGCTGCGGAAAAGTGTTCGCTGTCGAAAAGGACGAAATTTGACAAACACTTTATCCCCTACTGCAAACTCCACGTCTCTACGATGTTTATTCGCTTCCCGAATCATGCGTTGTTGAGCACGTTCCAGGTGGAAACGCAAACGGCGCAAGACCTCATCCCTGTCCCGAAGATCCTCTACTAATGATTGTGTCCTCACTTCTCCAGGTATAAAACGATGTAGCCTAGGAGGTGCACGACCATAAACTACCTCAAATGGAGTACCCCCCACACTTGATTGAAAACTGGTATTGTAGCAGTACTCTGCCCAAGCCAACCACTTACTCCACTCTCGTGGCCTTTCGGAACTAAAACAACGCAAATATGTCTCAAGGCAACGATTTAGTACCTCTGTTTGTCCGTCCGTCTCAGGATGATATGCCGAACTCATTCTCAACTTAGTGCCTGCCAACTTAAATAACTCCTGCTAGAACGAACTTAAGAACACTGGATCTCTATCTGATACAATTGATGTTGGGATACCGTGCAATCGCACCACCTCTCGACAGAACAAATTTGCCACGGATCGGGCGGTGTAAGGGTGTCTCAATCCCAGAAAATGACCATATTTTGAATTTATATCAACCACCACCAGGATACAGTCAAGATTGCCCGAACGGGGAAGGCCCGAAATA